ATTACTGAAGCCTGCTGGACTCAGACCTTCCTAGCTTGCTAGTTCACAGTGCGCGCTTCTGACACAGGAAACAAAACCGCGCTGGAATGCAAAGGAGCTAGAGGAAGAGAGAGCTGCTGGCAAGGTATAGCCTGCAGGTGTACATGGAGCTTGGGAAGCCGGTTCCCTGACCTCCCATGGCCTCCTGTGACCACTCCAATGCATTTTTGAGAGCGACTGAAAACCAGGACTGGCCACGGCCAGAGAATCTCTCTCAGACCTTCGTGCACGTAAATATTCCACTCAAAGCAGTTCACTGACTTCTTCCCAAGGCGCTCCATGCTAAAACAGCCCCATGATGAATTATCGACCTCTCAGATGCAATCAAATCAGAGCACAGAACCAGAGAGGACAGAGCGGAGGGAAGGAAATGAATCATTAGCTTCCCACAACGTCAAATATTAATGGGCTGCAACCCTCCCCAGCTCCATGGGCATTTATGATGTTCATTTGGGCCAGGGGAGAAGGAAACAAAGCAGCACCGTGAGAATTGCAGGAGGGAACATCAGCGGGAACAGAACTTGGAAATCCTCAACTTGTTATTCTGCAATACAAATGTTACGATACAGAGGAGGATTCAAAGCACGTGGTGCTGCTTCTTATTCCAGCTTGCTTTATGCATTTTCTTGTTTAATATCAGGGTTATTTGCATCAGACTATATTATTTTATATTAGAGCAGCATGCAAATGGCTCAAGTGAGATGGGCCGCACTGTGCCAAGCACTAAATGTGAATAAAGCAATCCCAGCCCTGTCTGCATCCTGTGGACAAAATACGAAGGGTGTGGGAAAGGGGGCAGCGGGGAGCAATGTTCAGGCAGGGAGAAACCGGAGATGCTTCCCACAGTTCTAGCTCTGGGCATCACTGCAAAGGTATTCAGGGTTTTATGGGAGAGTCTCCAGATTTCTCTTCTGGAAGCCATTCATTTGCAAAATGTTTTATGATGCTTAACAAGGCTGTCAACATTTTGCCTACCTGCAATCTGGTGATCAAAGTCGTCTTGGTCTCAGATATCTAAGAATGGAGAAACTGGGCCACAAAGAGGCTTCTCTTGGACGCGTGCAGGCATTAGGGACCACAGACATACAACACCTCGTGCCCCGTGCTGGCACCGGTACCCTAACAGCTAGGCGGGACCCCTTGGGCCAAGCTGTCACTAATGCTGAATGGTCTGGGCTATCAAAGCCATTGCTAAATGCAAACGAGCCATGTGGAACCGAGTCGCATTCCAAGCACAGAAAGCAAATCCAACTCTGCGAGCTCGAGGTGTGGGGAGAGGATCTTGATGGGGCTGCTGACAACAAGGAGGCTGCAGATAGTAACTGTGGAGTACCCGTAAAGACCTGCTCACATTTTACTCCTGCTTGCCAAGTCTCTGGTGCGGGAAAGCAGCTCCCTCCGAGCTCTGAAGTATGTTCCAGCTGCCTCCCTTGTGGGAGAGGGGCCGCTCAGCCATTGCAAGCGTGCGCAGCTCGAGGGTCAAGCGCACCTATGGCAGCTGTACAAACAATCCCCTGGACGACCGCCGAACCAGGCAAGGTGCTGCTGCCTGCAGGGGACTGAGCTGGCCACCAGGCCAGGGCTCGTGGAAATCGAACATGGGTTACTTTACAGAGTGCTGGGCATTAAGTGCAGTCACTGGAGCAGGCTTAATTGCACATAAATCTTGGCAAAGATCAGAGATCAGTTTAAAAATCACAGGGCTTCGTGTTCAATGCCAGAACGGCATGGATATCAGATCCTGACATAAAACCATCCATCAATCCCAGAGTTGTGCCCAGCCCCCCGCCAGCCTCAAAGCTAAGCAGTGCTGCACACTGGTAACAGACCCCAAGCAAGCGAGCGGAAAACGGTTTTCCCAGCGTTGTTTATCTGCCCGCTGCCACAATCCGAAAGGCCGGACCGTGCAGGCTTGTAAAGAGCTCTAGGATGATCACACTCAAAAATAAATCCCTCAATGAAAGGCTCTTCCTACAGACTATCAGGTGAGTTAGCATTTAGAGACACAGCCGAACAAGCGAGACGACTGCATTTAAGAGCGCTGAAAGGCACTATAATTTCAACCTGGCTACAGAAGGCTTGAATTGCAAATTAGCGGTCTCGAAACCCTAACCATATTAATTTGGATGTCTGCATCAGAAACTACATGAATGCACTATTTAAAGTCAAAGCAATCTGGTCTGACGATTCTCCTGTGCATTGGGAAAGCTGATTGGAAATGAAAAACGCATGCACTGAAGGACGATTGCCAAGATTTACCCCCATTCCCATGGTAATGGCCTCCTTCAATCAGGTTTAGCTTTCCAAAGCATATCAGACACTTCTAAAGAGAAAGTCTAATGGCTCCTTTTACTATAGGTCTGACCTGAAAGTATGTAACCTTGATGGGAAACCAGGTTTGATCATTCTTTGCTGTTTTATTTCCCTAACTCAACTTCCCTCTGATTCTCCACGTGAAGAGCGAGGCGGATTCCCTTCCATTTCCTACAAAGAAGAACGTTTTTTATAAGAGTACAAAACTAAAAGTGGCATCAGTACCTGCTACGCAGCCTCAGAGTTTGCCCTTACAACTTCCTAAAACCATAAACCGTCTTTTGGTGGCTGAAAGCTCCACTAAAATCACAGGCAAATATCTGGAAATACCAAACGGGCCAAAGAGATGCCATCAGCACTTAGACTTTACTGGCAGCAACGGGCACTGCTAGGACGACTGAATGGGATCAGCACGTGACACACAACAGCAGCATAAAGTGATGCACTTCCCTTCACCTGACTCCTCGCACGGAGCAGGCCTGGGCCTGTCATCCAGGGATTCCTTGGGGCTAAGTTAGCACCTTGTGGGATTTTTCAATAAAATCTTTACATCAAACTCGAAAGTCATTAAAGGATGGAATAATCCAGCAGACTCCTGGGTAAGTTGCTCCGACAGTTCCTGAGCCTCGCGGTGAATGACTGGCATCTTAATCTGTGCAGCAAGTAGAGCAGAAGGAAATCACGGGGTGGTAGGTATCAGTTGGCCACGCTCGCTCTCAGTGCTGCTCAGCCATAGACCCCCTACACGTCTCATTAAAAGTGATAACAGCTGCACCGTGATTTGGGCTGGGGAAATTAGTTACAGCCTACGTGGTTACAGGCAAGTCGCTGACATGGCTTGCAACTATGGGAGAGAGCTAGCCCTGAGGCTGTACAAGGTAATGGTACTGAGCTCAGCAAGGTCCCGGGCGCTGCCCAGCATCTCAATAAGACTGGCAAACCAGCCAGGGGAGACTCAAATTACTTTCAAGTGTCACCTCTGCTGCTCCAGCTGGCACGGGAAGCTGGAGCATCTGGTATTCAGGATCTGAGCAGGAGAGAAAAGGCACCACTATACAGACAGCTGGCTGAATAACCACCAGACAAATGCCTGCACACACCTCTGAAAGGACTATTGTGTGAGGTGTGGTGCACAGAAAGCAAAATGTGAGCTCCTGGGAAACCACAGGAAGATTAGAGGATGCTATGTACACCACCGGAGAATGCTGCCTCAGCAACTTTGACAAAAAGCTGTTTTCCCGTCTGGAAGGAGGATGACACAGGAAAAACCCCGCGCTTGGAGAATTTGATCATGCATTTAAAGAGGGGATCTCTGCTCCGCTTCCCAACAGCTGGAGCAAATCTGTGGGATCAAGCCAAAGCTAACACAGATGTGGAATTCATCCACAGGCTCTTCGCTCTGAAATCAGCTGATCCTCTTGGACTGCTCCTCGCTCCCCACTCACGCTGCGCTCCTGGTAAGTCAAATATTGCCCGCGATGCGGGAAGCCAGCTGGAACAGGAGCTGGGGAAGCATGCTCCTTTTCAGGTGTACCAAATACGGAGGGACACGGGATGATCAGCTCATCCAGAAACAGATCTGGCACCTTATACAGGTGCTTAGGAAACCTGGAGTGGAGAAACTGGAGTCGCCAGGTCCTTTCATAATCTCACCTGAACCAAAGTCATCAACCAACTGAAGCTGAATCAGGACCCCAGGGTGCCAATTCCTGGTCCCATTATTCACACGCAACTCTTTGGCCCGGCATTTTAGAGTGCCACGTGCTCCGTTACTCATCTTCAGGAGAGTGACTGGAGGCCCACAGACAAGAGGCCTGACAGCACTGCAAAAGGTCATTCTTGGCCGCTTTGCTGCTGCAGACACTGATCCTTTGCTCACTTTCTTTCTTCCATCCCAGCAACTTGGAAATGCATCAACACTTGGGAGAACTTTGAAAACCACCCTAGAAGAAAGTCTTTGCAATAATAAGCCTCTCTGTTTGGATGCACCGAACAGCTGGGACAGGCTCTTCTCCATTGGGCTACAAAGCAACCGAGCTCCTTGGATGCAA